GTTGTTAAAAATGGATATCAAGATATTCTAAATATGATGCCCTACAGACGAGCAAAAGGGTATAAAGAGATATTTGAACATGTAACTCAGATAATTACTGAAAAAGAAAAAATATGGATTTATCCATCTGAAAATCATATTATTTATTCCAATGCAAGGATGGATACCAAAGAAGAAGATATTTGTTATCTCGATCATTTATTATCTGCAATTATATCCAACCAAGTGCACGGATCAGAGGATATGGCTAAAGAATTATGCAAATTACTTTGGAATTACAGTGATCACCATTGTGAATACTGTGTAGTTGAAGATATGAGTCAAGCATCCCTTAATGATGAAGAATTCCCTGCAGAATTCTTTGATTCAAAAATGGAAAAGTAATGATGACTAAAGTAACCCTTTATCACTACTTTAATAAAGAAATTTATTAAAGAAAAACTGTGGCTATTAGAAAACAGAAAATAATACAAGAAAAGTCTCCATAATTGTGACTACTCCCCACCAATAGTTACAAGTGACAGACAAACTCAAAAGATAAAGCATCTAATTTCAAAAGAAGAGGTCCACCTAACAAGAAGACAATGAAGAATTCGGTGGAGACAAGATGGCCTAGCTACCCAACAAAGAAAGGTGGAAAACATCTGTCCAAGATAAGATTCCAAAATCTCCTATAAAAGGGGGCATGAAGGAAGGAGGAAGATATCTCGAAATAGCTTATCTCTTAAACACATCTAAGAAAAATCTTTTGTAATCTGTATACATCACTTGTATTCCGAAAAAATATTATATAGCTTGAAGATAGGAAAGTGTGTAATAAGGTAATCACTTATGGAGTTCTAAACTTCATAAGGTGAGTACCAAAAGTATGTAAATATAGTTTGTAAGCATGTACAATTTCAATCTATGAATATCAAAGTAAAGTTTGTTATGTTCAACAAAACTTACATAAAAGGATTTCGTTAAATTTCTCATGATTTCTCGGTAGTACAGATAGAGATTTTAAAAGATTTTCAAAATTTTGATTTTGAATGGATGTTAGCCATGCCAAAATACCCGTATTTGAAGAATGGTTTGGGGAAAAAATGCAGTCTTCTAACAAAAATTTGTAGCACCTTGTGTGTGAGTTACCTTTTAAAATTTCGTTCCAAGTAGGAACTTGATTCTGAAAAGAGTTTGGATAGAGGTGAGAACAGAGACTCTGGATACTGTGAGATAGCGTCTGTGGAAACACGACTAGTTCTCTAGAATGAGAAGTGCAACCTTAATTGAAAAGCCTTTTGCGGAAGCAGTTGTGGACCCAAATGATTTCAAAAACATTTTAAATCTTTACTTGATTTAGAAGATTGATTAAGTACATGCAAAGCATCTATAAGAGCATACTGGAGGGAAAACCTGTTTATTTCCACTTGATTACTGTAAGTTCTTTACTTGTTTTTACATGCTCATGCTTTAATTATTTTGATGTACAATTCACAAGCATCCACTTTCACTGTTAATGGTGACAATAATTTTATTTTATTTTTAGGTGAAAAAGATATTTCGTTTTTATTTAAATTAGATGAAAAATTGGATGATATATTCCCTGTTGGTAAAGGAAAAAATTGAAGAAATATATAGAGATATAGATTATAGTTGTAAAAATAATATAGGATTTGATTCTGTGAAAACTTATAAAGAAATAAGAAAAGTAGAAGATACTATAACTAAACATGGAAATATACAAGAAGAAATTTTAGAAGGTTTAGTTCAAGGATGTATAACTAAGAAAGGACAACCTATAATTTTTGAAGAACTATCAAGATATAGAGAATATTTAAAGGTATTCAAAAGATTGAAAAATATAGATATAAGTCCTGATTGACAAGTCCTTAAAGATAAAGGATATATCTTATAAATAACTATAGTAAGGGCAATATAGTACTTTTAACAAAAGAGGCCATTGTAAAAAATAGGAAGAATTTTCCAGCCATTTTCAAAATTACCCCCTTAAAATTGTGGTGCATTTAACAAAATTAGCCGTAGTAATATACCCTTTTGTGGGAATTAATGAAAAATTTGCATGGAATCGTCGGAAGGACGTGACTTGTTTGGATGATACATGCTATTAAATTTGAATAAGGATGAAATTGAAACATATTGGAAAGTTAGGGACATATATTGTAATTTTTCCTTCATCATATTACCATCTAAAGTCGTGTTTTAGCCCTTGTTCGATACCCGTTAAAATTTTAATACATTTTTTTATCTTTTTTTCAATTACATTTTTCAATAAAATAACTAATATTCCAAAATACATTTTATCCAAATTTCTCATTATAATTGTTCTCGAGGCTCAATAAAGCCCATGTTTAAGCCCTATTTTTTCAAAAATGTATTTTTTTAATTTTCATTTTCAATCACACATGACATATTTTAAAGATTTTCACTTACTTTTTAATCATGCATTCTTAAAAAAAAAAAATCACTGCCCAATAATACTTTTTATGAAAAATTGCAGTTGAGGAACCAAACATTTCGTTTATTAGCAGACTTTGCCCAAATTTTTCATTTGTGCCATCGAAGGTACTAAGCCTTTAAAAAATTCGCTGGGACAGTCCAAAATGATGGTTTTCGTCTGTTTTATCATCAAAACTGTTAGTTGACTCCAAAATTGACATTAACCAAAATTTTGACTAATTTCAAAAGGATAAAATTGTAATTTTGCATTTTTTTTTAACAAAAAAGACATTTTTTTAGGGAAAAAATCAAAAAAATTTAGATTTAGATTTTGAGCACTATTTTAATTCGATTAGGGTTGGGTTTGGGATTTTCTAATGAGTTAAGGTAATGTTGCCTGGTTTTGAGGCAATGCTGGGGCTGGAGATTAAGGCAACAAGAGCGAATCGATAAGAATTTCTGGTCTTTTCGAGCAAGCCCTCGAGAGCTTTTCTTACCTAAATCTGGCCAGTTATTTTCCTCTTCTTCTTTAGTATGTGGTGGTGTAAGTGGGTTCTTACAGTATGACTATGGTGGTGGTGTTAGTAGGTTCAATCTCTTGCTGATGAATGGGATCTGGCTTGTTAGTAGGTTCAATGCTTGGAGTTTATTGTCGGTATACTTTTCAGCAATGGGAGTTTGTCGTGCAGTCACTTTGCATCTTTTTTATTCGACGCCGACAATGGTGCCGACGGTGGGTGGGTGTGGTGGTATCGATCGTTGCTGTGGTGGTGGTGGTGGTTTTGGGATAAGGGGGTTGGGGAAGAAGACAAAGGTGGTGGGTGGTTTTTTGTTTTGATTTTTGTTTTTTTTTATTTAATTATTAATATATATTATAATTGTCTTTAAAAAAATGCAAAGTTACAATTTTAACCTTTTGAAATTAGTCAAAAATTTGGTCAATGTCAATTTTGGGGTCAGCTAACATTTTGATGGTCAAACAGACGGAAACCGTCATTTTGGACTGTCCCTGCGAATTTTTTAAAGATTTGGTACTTTCGGTGGAATAAATGAAAAGTTTAGACAAAAATTGCTAATAAAAGAAAGGTTTGGCCCTCGGCTGCAATTTTCCCTACTTTTTATTCCAAAATGGGGATGGGCAAAATCTTGGATTACAAAATCCCAACAAGTCCTTGAACTTGAAGCATTCGAATTCTACAATTTGCTCCCGAATCCATCCTGCTTGTCTTAGGGTTTCATCACTTCATCTCCATTTACATCTCGCCTCCTTTTCCACTCATAGATTCATCTGATTTACACACATCATATATATGCAACCCCCAAACCAACTCCAATTTCTATCAGGATTCTGATAAATCCTTTTCGAACTTTTATATTGATATCAAGATTTGGGCATTAATTATGATCATCTTTGTTAAATTTCGATTCTCATCATTGTTGAATGTGAACACCAACAAGCTTTCTGGCAATCTCCGAGCTCTTGGCCCTGGTTTGAATCCGTTTGCTCCGTACAACTTGGCCAATCATTCCTCTCGCTAATTGTCTTTGCAGTTCTTGTTTTTAAAAATTATGTAAACTGTTTGAGGATAGGAAGCTCTGAAATTCCACGTATTTTTAATTGGGCTCATCTATTTTCTGGGTTCTTTTGAGATTTAAAGATAAGACCAATTCGCTGATAGATTGAAATTTCTGCCTTGATTGTTTGTGGGCATTTTTGTGTTTTTTCCTCTTATGTGAAAAAACTCCTGAATTTGAAGTCTGCTTTTTCTTCAAATATTCGACAAAGAAAAATCGTTCTGTGTTTTCCTACTTTAAACCTTTGAATCTAACCTTAAAAAGGTTAAAGATTGAGTCATTTTGATCGTCCATCAAAGATAAAGGTAAATTTGGGTTGTAAGATTATTGGATTAGTAATAGTTTTTGAGAGCTGGTGTTTGATATAAAGGAGAAAAGGAATATTCAATAATGCCAGAGTTTGATATCGGACCAATCAGGAAGAGCAGGCAATTGGGTAGGTCGGGAGGGGACAGGGATGATCGAGGTTGGACTCCCCTTCACATTTGTGCTAGGAAAGGTGACCTTAAACAGGTAATGTTTTCACCCCCTTTTCAGTGATTTTTTCTTGTGTTTTATGAATATCCATATGACCATATGTAACAATTTTCTTAACTTTGGTACTTTGTTAAATATTTTGTTCTGTAATTCTTTCATTAATCATGCAATATGATGGTGTTGAAATTCAGACCATAATATAGACTCACTAGTGGATTTCATTGTTAGTATTATGAGAAGTCGTCGTTATAACATGGCCATTAAAATAGGGATTCAGATATGAGGTGAATGCAGTACCTCATGTTTTTTGGAGATGAAATTTGAACATTAAGATGATTAACAACTTGTGTGGTTATGGTATATTTCTGAAAGAGTGGTAGTGAAAGCTCCTAAATCTGAAGGATAAATCTACTTGTACATAATTTTTTGTACATTAAGGTATCCATACACTCACATGGGGTGGCGCCCAATCGAATAAAATATTCTATGGACCCCTGTACAAAAAATTTCTATGGAAGCTGTGATGAAACTCATGAACAGATTTTTGGAGGTCTTAATTATGGATGTGAGTAATTGATCGACACACACTGGTACACTTTGAGAGTGGGTTTAAGATGGTTAAGGTGACGAAATTGTCAAGGGTCTGAAGAAGATTCTTCCTTCAATAATTATATCTTCCCGTTGCGTAGTGGAGGATCTGGATGTTACAATATATTCTCTGCATTGGTTAATTTTGATATAGATTATGGGAATAGACAAAGAGGATAAGATTCTGGCTATGCATTTGGACTGTTGACTAGTGCTTTTGCCAGATGAAAATTTTTAAATCAATTAACAGTAGCAATCCCTGCATAAGACAACCATGATATCACATGTTGAGAAATTGAAAGATATTGGTGTTAAGACCTAGCCTTGTATAGTTTCAAATGTTGGGCAACTAAGAAAACAACATTTACAAGATATTTATGGGTACAATCAGAATGTTAATACAGATTTGTGGTGAGATAATTAAATGTAAAACAACAAAGAGTTGTGAAACTTTGTATGGCAAAAACATTAGTGGAAGATGACACAATATCTAAAAATGGCTTGATAAAATTCATAAGAGACCATGAAATTCACATTAGTACAACAAGTAATATGATTGCTTTTATTGGACAGTATGCGTGGCTGATTGTCACTTTCTGTGAAGATTATTTGTTTACATGTGTCACACACTCATGCATGGCAGTGTGGGTATATTTCCTGGATGGTCTAGTGTGCCGATTCACTCATGGATGACCTCAGTGTCTCTCTTAGTGGTTAACATGGATGAAAAAGGTTTACCGAAAAGGTTAACATGGCTTCTATTTGTTTCTTTCTTGATTTATGTGGATTGTTTTCATCTTTTGTAGGTGAAACGACTTCTTCATGAAGGAATGGATGTCAATGTGGCTGCCTGGGGCCCAAAGTCACATGGTGTGACCCCCCTCCACCTTGCTGCTAAGGGGGGTCATCTTAAAGTTATGGATGAATTGCTAGAGCATGGTGCTGATATTGATGCGCGAACTAAGGGTGCATGCGGCTGTGAGTATATGATATGTGAAAATATACACACACAGCGTGTTTGGCTAAAGCTTAAAAGGTTTATTATAAGTAATTAATAAGTTTTAGAGTATATTTTTTTAATTAGATCAAAATTGGAAGCAAGTTACTTATCTTGACAGACTACAAAGAGAAAAGTGTAACTATCTAATAATTTACTCATTTTACTCAAAAAAATACAGAACAATGGTGCTCGTCCAAATATATTTGGAATGAAAAAAGTAACTTTTACGTTTTTAAGCATAGCCAAACATGGATCTTTCTTTGATAAACAAAGAAGAAATACTGATGTTTCTTTCCTTTTGTCTTATTTAACATCTGCTTTTATATTTTGGATACAGGGACGCCACTTCACAATGCAGCTAAAGAAAGAAATAAGAAAGCAATTAAGTTCCTGGTTGGAAACGGCGCATTCCTGCCTGATGATATCAACGACACAAGGTTCAATCCGCCTCTCCATTATTGTCATGGTCTTGAATGGGCTTATGAAGAGAAGAAGCGCCTCCAGTTGGATAAGTCTTCATCTAGCGAAGCATCCTACAGCTCGGAAAACTGATGGGTTTACCCTTACATTGTTGCTTCTTTTCATGCTGTCTTGGAACTGAAGCAGACTCGACTTGTCATTCTCCTCTTAAATCGTGGTGCTCTATGCGATTTGGTTTGCAATGGAATAAATGTAAGATTAGAACGTTTGTGTGTCATGTTTCATGTGTTTGCTTCATATGTCTTCTGCATCTGGGATATCTTACTTGAAACTCTTTCGAATGCCATCAAACCAATAATTTTAATGTTATTGGTCTGTTTGTTAATCCTGTTTGAGGCTGGAGTTAACTTACGAATATGGGTAGAGCAATACTTGAATTTGGATAATTAAATAAGTATCAAACTATGCTATAATACTATTTGTTGGAAACTGGATCCCTTGCTTAATTGGAAGTTACTAATTTAATCAAAACTTTACATAGGAGATAAAAATGAAAATCTTTGAACCACGCTATTAACCAAAAGTTTATGTTGAAATGATAAAGTTAACGCTTCAAGGATGATGTTACATATATATCAATGTGCGCCCAACAGTGTTCACCCTCCTCACATGGAGAGGAGGGTGAAACACAATTATAAATATTATATTATGTACAAATAGCATATTTCAACCTTCAAACCCTCGAGTCTTCTACAGTATGCTATTATAAAGAAAGACTGCACGACATATGAGAATCCAATTCGAAACTTGGTGCTAATTTTCTGGCAGAAGAATTAGCAAGAAAAGAAAAGAATAAAGATCAAAGATCTACATCCACATTTCTTATAACACACGGCAGCCCCCAAAAAAGTCAGGAAAATGAAATCATCGCTTGGACGATGCAATTCATTACTCTAACGAATTTCACTCTTAGTCCTTGGGTTTTAATCGCAAATAATTTCAATTAAGTCCCTATATTTTAAGAAGTTAAGAACCCAATATTCAAGTTACAATAGTTAGACATTGTACAGTCCACCTCGGATTCCCCGATCTAATTATTAATCTCTGCTCATTCCATCAAAAGTGTAAGACAGTCCCGACGAATATAAAACCATAGAAGTTATATGAGCCTGTTTGGGAGTGATTTTGAGAATTGATTTTATGACCGTTAGAAAAATAGTGGGGTCCATCTGTGAGAGAAGAAGTCAAATATGACGGCTGAAATAATGAATTAAACGGTCAAAAAGTTCAAAAAAACACTCCTAAACAGGCTGTAAATTTATAATTATATCAAATTGTTTTCTTCATTATATTAAATTTGTCATAATCTCATCGAGATGTAATTTGACCAATGCTAAATACTAATGTTAAATTTAAATTGATCGGTAGCAAATTCTTAGCCCCTATTTGTTACTCATTATTGAGAAATTAAAGAGTTTTGAATAGGATTTTTGAAGAATGCGTGGTTAAAAAATGAAGAAATTTAACTGATTTGTGTGTAAAATATTTTATTATGTGAATATATTGTGTGAATATGTGATGGAGAATGATACAATAGCAAATAATTTAAAACTTTAAAGGGGGTCAAACAGGCCCTTAGTGTGATTATCTTACTCTAATTATGAGCGATAATTTCCTAACACTAAACACACTCATTAATATATCAAAGAACCGTCAAACTTACAAATAGAATGAATTTATATTGTTAAGGATCCGTTTGGTACCCTTTTTTTCAAAATACATTTTTCTCTCTTTTTTTTCAACCATACATTCCTTATTAAAATAATATTACACGTAAATCAAATTTTTTCATTATTTTTCAACTACACACTTCTCATCAAGTTACTATTCGAAAATGCATTTTTACATAAAAATAGCTATTAAACAACCCTTTAGGTAAACAATTCAGCAGCCATGTTATATTTAGTTTTCACACGGTCATGCTATTGAATCTAGTTCAAACACATGATTATGTCCAATGAACTCTTAAGTATGGTAGAATACTTTTCAGAAATTTAATTTTAGAACAAATCCTTCACCCCAATTTGATAGAATAGTCAATACTACGATCTTGTCCAAACAATGTGTCAACCTATTCATTCATTGTGGACAAATTAACTCTTGATAAAAGTTGGGCTTCTCAACGTAAGCACCCAACTATTATTATCTCAAAGTGATCAATGACTCTTACTTGTTTGTTCAAATAATTTAATATTACTTTTATGCCTCAAGAGTATATCGTTACACTCAAAATTAAATATACCCTTTATGGCACCATTTTAATTTTCCTTTTCTTTATTTGTTTAGTATTTTTAAATTAGTTCAAATATTTAAAAAAAGGAAAATGGGAAGCATCAGTTTTACCCTTAAAAAATGGTAAAAAATAAGTCAACTGTTTAAGTAACGAAATTTTGGATGAAGATGATCCAAAGGTCTTTCAATTGTCATTTTAACCAAAGCTTAAGGACTTTACTGTTAAAAGTGAAAGGTTCATAACCCAATTGCATTTTTTCTAAAGGGTTAGGGACCCAAAATGTTTATTTTATAGTTGGTTTAAAATAACTATTAGATTGCTGTTTAATTTTGTATGAGATATCATGAATGAATGCCAAAAAGGCGTTGTCGTATCCCAGTCATAATGTCGTGTCATATGTCGTTTAGTTTGACCAATTAATTAATTCATAAATTTAATAAAAAAATTCAGCTAATAAACAAATAAATGAGCTATTTGTCTGCATATGAAGTTACAATCCAAGTATCCAACACCGATCACCATCCAATGATTCCACTCCATTTGATTCAATTAAATCCATAGGTTTAATTAAAAAAAAATGGTTTTAGATAGAGATATTTTCAACAAGTATTAAACAAAGAGTAAAGTTACGTAGCGAGTATGCAGTTTGCACTTAGTCCGTGTTTGATTTGGATAAAAATGAAAATTTCAATAAATTTTATAATTCTTCTCTTCACTAGAAGAATTATCAGTATGCAATTCTTCCTCACTAGGATAATAACCATCATCATTTTCTAGCTCCTCTATACCTGCAACCTCAAATTCAACCATTGGGTCTGCATTAAATCCCACCACAACACGTTCAGGTGCATTTGTGTCAAATTGGAAACCATCATCATTAACCTCATCGTCTGAATTATTCAAATGACATTTGAGAGGTATCCATTCCTCTTCTTCAAAGGTCAGGTCTACAATGGAACACGAGGTTAGGATCCGCACCACATATGCAAATAAAAATGCATAAATATGGTTCTAAACAACGAAATTATGGTCCCATAAAACAAAATTCAGATTCAATTTTTCAATGTACTTCCAAAGAAAAGAACATAAAAAAGACACAACTAAAAAATTGTGATCCCATAAGAGAATATTCAAAATCCAATGAAAAGTTTAGTAAATTTACCATGTGGTGGTTCTTCTTCATCTATCACCAATATTGTTTCTTCCACTGTGATATTGCAATCCATACCAATGCTAGGGGATTTTCTTTTTTCAAATATTCTGATTTTTCAAATATTTCATACCAACTTCTGGTTACATGCAATTGTTGTCAATTTTCTTGGCCACCATGTGGGCAATTTGTGGGAGGAATAGAATGGCAAAGACCATTAAACACAAACAATCTGAAATGAAATTCAAGGCCAGAGGAGTTGGGAATTTGGGAGCAATTTCTAGGGTTCCAAGTTGGGGAAGAATTCTTCTTCTTCTTCTTCTTCTTTTTTTCCCCTTCTTTGAGGCTTCTTTAGAGAAAATGGGTTTTCACTTGGTACCTGGTAATGTTAAGCCCAGTTGGACTCATTTAATGTCTTTTATGTGCCATGGCAAATTTCCATCCAACACGTGGCACATTTCTTTAATTGAAGTTGACGGAGTTTAAATGGGTGATGGATGGGTAAGTGTTTAGATAGATGGGTGAGTATCGGGTTATATTTTATAGTTCGATAAGCAAGTAGTAATATAAATTGAAGTTGGGTGAGCATTGATTAAATTTACTCATAACTACTCTTAAAAAAATTTAATAAGTTAAGTCAAACAATTTTAAGTTGTGATTTCAAATCTCTTTTTGTCAGTGTCTTGTAAGAAGTGTGCGACAAAAACATGCATCTTTTGAGAATGAAGAAGCTTCAAATTTTCGGCAGAGTCACTCACAGTGGATTAAAAACAACTTCTTCCACGTCTGCTATCGCATGTACCAACAACTTGGTTCATGATTAAGTTTAGGGTCCATTTAATAGTATTAAATTTCATGAAAAATGTTACATTCGAAGAATTCGTTTTTTACTTTAACTATTTGATACGAAAATGGAAATAGAGTTTGAATTTCAAAGTACAATCATTTAAAGCATGTTTTTGATCAATTCCATGAAAATCGAATTCTTATGGTTTTGGTGATTTTTCTTTTCGGACTTACATAGAATTGGCTAGTCTTTTCCACATTTGCAATCAAACGGACTTTTAGAGTAATGTTAGCATTGTTTGATTCTCATTATCTTCAAAATATATTTTTCTCTCTTTTATTTTTAATCAAACATTTTTTAATAAAATAATATTATGCACAAATTCAAAATATTTTCTTAATTTTTAATCAGATATTCTCTATCAATCTATTATTCAACATGCACTCTTTCGTAAAAAATGAGGCTCAAACAAGGCTTAATTTCTAATGTCTTATAAATATAAAATAAAAATCAATATATAAGGGGTCGGAAGGAAGACTCAATACCTATAGCATCGATGGCATCTCGACTGAATTTTTCTTGTTTTAGCCCTCCCATTCTTTCCCACCTCCAATCATTTTCAAAACCCCATAATTTTTTGTGGCAGAAATGGCTGTTGTTATTGTTTTTGAGGTCCCATTTTTCGACAGATCGAGCAACCTCAGTGTTGTAGTGGGACCCAATTCCACTCGCCACGTATACGACATCGCCGGAGGCTCCAGCGGCGCACCATCGCCGAGGAGTGGATAATGGGGGACCATAGGTCCATTTCTTGATCAAGGGATTGAAAATGAGTGGCCTCGAGAGGGCAGGGAGGAATTTGTCGTTGGTGGCAGCAAGGAGGACTAAGTTGCCGGAAACAGAAACAGATTGTATAGGCAGTTTACGTGAAATGAAGGAACGGTGGCGGAGGAGGAAGCGGGGCGACGGATCAGTAAGCGGCGGAGGAAAGGACCACCACTTATTTGAAATGGGATCGAAGGAGAAGTATTCAATGGAGTTGGCATGATTTTGAGTGGATATCAAGAGAGTGTAAATAGATAGAAACGGAGGAAAAGATGGAGAATAGATAAGGCGGCGCCAAGAACGGCAAACGGAGTAGAGAATTGAAGGATGGACCAAAAAAAGGCAAAGTTGGGCTATATGGTCTGGAAGTCCAGGCAACAAAGACTGGTGGTGATGGAGCTCCGCCGCCTTATCGCAGTGGATATTCAGCCTTTCGGTGGTGGAATCGGTTGCTGTGGAGGATGAGTTGGAAGTTACAAGATTGTTCATTTGGACGAGAGAGAGAGAGAGAGAGAGAGAGTTGTGCGTAGGGGTAGTACTTTCTTTAAAGGAGGGGTTATGTTATCTTTTTGTATTTATGCGGTTTCTTTATTGAGTGATGGCTAAAGTAGACAAGTGGAGAGGGGAGACTTAAGTCAAAAATAAAAGGCAAAATTTGGATGCTAGTAGGGTTAAAATGTCCCTTGGACGTAGAATCTTGAGAATAAATTTTGTGAAAAGTAATTTTTTTGAGAATATATAATTTAAAATTAGATAAAAATTATAAGGGGTGTTTGAGCCACATTATTTTGGTAATAATGCATTTTTGAATAGTGTATTGATGAAAAATGTGTGGTTAAAAAATAAGAAAAAAATTTAATCTACGTGTAATATTATTTTATTGAAGAATGTGTGGTTGAAATGATGTCAAATCACTACTTAAAAATATATTTTTTTTGAAAATAATGTGGCTCAAACAGGCCCTAAATCTACTTATAAGTTATTTTATTGAGAGCATATATGGTGGAAAATAAGTTTGAAAAAAATATTTTAAAGAACATGTACCAAATAGATTTTCAGCACCATAGTCATGCTTCCATTTTATATCCAGTGGTATAGAAGTTAAGTGGTTGTGAGACTATACTTTTCGAGGTGTGAATCTATAATGGCTACCATAACTACTTACTCATTATAGCATTTAACGTCTTGTGTTAATTGAAGTAAAGTAAATATAATCATGATATAGTTGAAGGAGTTGAGCATTCGATTGACATACGATCAAATACGAGTAGCTTGATGGATTCCAATGCCATCTATCGTCTCTAACCCAGATAATTTAAATCTTGTATTAATTAAGTCTTTGTTGAGTTATATATCCGTCATTTAAAATGGTGAAGTTAACATTTCTATTACGGACATATACCTTATATTTGGGAATCAGACAAGCTTTTGGAGTCAAAAAATGGATTGGTAACTTGTATAATAAGGTTAAAAATGCGTAGCCTAGCACCTTTATTCAAAAAACTTGTATGTTTTGAATTATGTTTACTTTTGTGTCCATAAATATGGAGGCTAATTTGATGATCCTTCTATGGAATTATATGAAAATTGAAAAGTTGGTCCTACAAAATAAGTCAAAGGAGAGTAAAAGTCAAACGTTTGACTTTTGATTAGTGTAAAGTATGATAAGAAGTTATTAGTTTTTTGCACTTTCTATAACAAAATCCATGTTTAGTTTCTTTAGTAATATCTACTTTTCAAGAACTTCCAATTGCTTCAAGAAAAATTTGAACTTATAAACGTATAATTTCATATCATCCTAAGTCCATGTTTGGGTTGGATATAAAAGTTGATGAAATATACAGTTGAAAAGTTAATAAAAATTTTGAAGCATATGAAATGTGTAGTTAAAAATGAGTTTTAAGAAACGTGAGCCAAACAATGGCTAAATCTGTTAAGTTTGAAGAACTCTATATCTGAGGAAAAATGTCAACTTGACAACTTTATTTTTTATTATTGAAGAATACTAGTGTTAAGAAAAAGGCATGCTCCCAGATTTTTTTAAATATACACAGATTTATTTAAATAAATATACGTGTCGTGCTTGTTAACCTTAAGGGGAAGTGGCAACATAGTAAATTCAACACTTGAAGAGAAAGTTTTGGTTGAACTTTTGCAATTAATTTGGTGATAAAGTAGGGTAATGTGGCGGATGTATTGCACGAGATAAGGCAATAATAAATGTGAAAAGGTAAGGAGTGAGACAGAGAGGTTGAGAGAGTTATTATAAATTTGACTCTTTGGGCATCCCTACATAAATTCATTGTTCTCTCTTCCTAACCTAACCCTAACTTCTTTTTACTCTATTCTTTTCTTTGCATTACATTCCAAAAATTGTCACGAGAAAAGGGTACCCTTTTAAGTATTGAATAGGTAGGGTAGAAAGTGGCAACCGTCCCTAATAAATATAAGAACTTTTTGGGGGAAGAAAAAAAAAAAAAAGGTGTTGAAAGAAAGAATAAAGTAGGAGAAATTGAGTTGGGAGTTATGAAAGTGTGAAATAGAATTTCAGATTTGTTAAATACGAGGTAAAAAATGGATTTATAAGGGAATTGTGGTACTTATTGATGTTGAAATTATTCGTCGTTGGCACTCAAATGAGGTTATGTTGGAATTATTCGTCGTTGGCTCTCAAATGAGGTTATGCCCGTGTATGCATTGACGTAGTGGAAGAGGTCGGTTTAGTTGGAGAATGAGATGCTTTATAGTTTCGTAATGAGGATGAACTGTCAAAATGATGAGGTACTTCATTTGAGGGATAAAACAAAATACTCCCTTCGTCCCAATTATATAGGCTCGTTTCATTTTTCACACAAATTAAGATATCTTCTTTAATGTCATTGAAAAATTAAATTTTGTCAAGATCTTTCTTAATTTATCCCTATTTAATTTTCAGTATGTAGTAATAAATTTTTGTTGAAATTAGTAAAAAAATTGAATGATTTAATTTAAATAAGAAGAAATGAGAGTTGTTCCAT